CCTCGTATTGCAAATTATTTGTAAAATATCGATCCAAGCAGATGTTGATAAAATAAATATTTAATAACATTGCTATGTTTTGACATGAATATGCTTAAATGAATAGACACACTAAACAAAACATTGGATCAATATAAATATAAAATTATTTAACTCTATAACCCTTTCACTGTGTCAGACTTTGAAATATATTTCAATCAGCATTTTATACTTGCTGGCACGTCTGTGAACAATATTTAATAATAACAGCAGCAGTGTAGCGGTTTGCACAAGACGGTACACAAGTAGTATGAGATTTTCCATATGGCATCATTATAATTAACCACACCTATACAACATTATCAGATTGATAGTAAGGTGAAATGAAATGAAATGAAATGGGGTTTAACGTCCTACTGTTCTGTTCCTAAACTGGGCTAATGAAGACGGACATACGCCATACAGTGTGCTTTGAGGAAAATTTTGCCCGGGCAGCGGCGCTACAGCCTACTCTTATATCGAATTCCAACTGCCAAGGGATCCTTGCTTATAAACATGAAATGATAATGAAACTATTAGATTTGAATGGAATGTGATTTAATATCCCGTCAAAAAACTACTACGGCCATTTTGAGATAAACAACGGTAATCTTTATTACCATAGTTACGTTTTCTATGAGAGGCACGACAGTTTTGCCCGGACTGCGAAGATTCAGCCTACTCATCTTCGATTTCTAACTTTAAAGGATTATCTTGGCAATTTGTAAAAGGGTGGACCACAGGCTTACATCCCATCTGATTAGTGTAGGCTGGTTTCGAGAAATACCGGGATTCGAACCAGAGATATTCTAGTCGAGATTCCAGTGCCCTGACTGATCGAGTACCACGTCCCCCAACTTGACTTATTGGGTATGGTGAAAACAAGCTAAAAGTGATAGACATAATGTACATGGCGGAAACTAGCTACACTTGAGGAACAGGGTGAGAACTAAGCAGTAGCTACACGTGATGAACATGGTGAGAACTAAGCAGACTTTATGATTTGATGAACTTGATGAAAGTTAATTAAGACCATATGTATTATGAACATGATCAAAAACTAGACATGATAGACATAGTGAAAACTTACTACCCGTAAACTTCATGGACATGGTAAAAAAAATAGCTAGATTTGATGGACATGGTGAAAAGTAACTACATGTCGAATTGATGGACATGGTGAAAAGTAACTAGTCTTGGTGAAAACTAACTTACATACTTAATTTAAGAAAAACAACAACTAGACTTGATGAACATGGTGAGAATTATAGACTCTATTATGAACATTGATGAAGACTATAAAAAATAGACTTGGTGAACATGGGGAAATTAACCAGACTTGGTGTACATGGTGTAAATTAACCACAGACTTGGTGAGCATGGGGAACACTAATTGTAATTGATGGACCTGCATAGCCGACTGACACCTACAGCTCTCAATAAAAAATATTTTTATCATTAGGCAAGCTCCATTTATTTCCCGTATATTGTTATGCTTCAGTCACCTTACTTGACCTTCATTTTACTTAAACACTTAATTCATTGAATATTCACAGCAAATTATGAAATCAGTGATATTAATTAAGTAAAGATTAAATATCGCACTATCATGAATATTATCTAATCACCATGGAAATTTTACAGAAACTAAAACATTTATAGTAACTTGAGTACCGGTAATGACAATAATGGCAGATATAATTTATCATGAGAATGTTAACGTGTTTATTTAAAGTGAATATTGCAAGGAATGATTGTCCACGCTAAGATGATTCAATTATATATAAAACTTATTACATTTTGGCCGAAAAAAAACGAACGTTCATGCAATCTAAAACCTAGATGTTACTTTCGTTTCGTTTATTCCTTCTGTATTAACATCTAAGGATATGCTTAAGAAAATGAAGTTCTGGACCTGTTTATACGTCTTCTAGTTTGACTCGACCCAACAGTAGATAGCTATTTTCTCTATTCGTTTTGGATGTCTGGATAATCCAAGTATGTAAGATTTCGTGGAATTGTCATTATCAAGGGTTTTGATTGAATGGGAGATCTAGAGTCTAACAATCGCATCCCGAGCATTACCGGGTCAGATAATGTCTTTAGATCAAGATGTAGAGAATACACAACAGAAATGTCGCTGGGCTTAATGAGATTGACGTTCACGATGTTTGTACTGCATGAGTCCTTCTTACAAAGAAACATGCTGTTAATGAACATCAGAAGGGCTGCGTATTTTTTGGTTGAATTATAAATTTACAAACTCCATCACAGAACAATCCATCACCTGACTACATAAAAAGAAATTAATTGCAAAAACATTCAAAATATCTAGGGAGGAAGTACAAATTCTGTAAACTTAATTGATAATCATGAACACCTGCGTCCCTGGTAAGAGATTCACAGGATACACGACAAACAATCAAACTAGATTGGGTTTGGGGTTTTCATTTTACTTTTTGCTGTTTTTATAACATTACCTTGAACATGTCCTTCAAATTTTTACTGTGATATAAGAACAGTGATGTTTATAACTGAGAGTATCGATCCCAATGTTGCAAAAGTTTCTCTTCAATTATTTTAAAATTGGAAATCCAACATGGAGCTTTTATAATCTACTCTCTGTGGAATTACCTTTTGGAAAACGACAAGTACAATAAAGAGACTGGATGTGACCAATTAAACCTTTTCAATTTTATTAAATGAAAGCAGAATATACACTTCTCAAAATTCTCGAAATATACTTAGTGTTTTCGACTAAAATCCTCGATTAAGGACTTAAAATGTCAGTCAACTAGTTTAGTGTCTGTTCTCAAGCGGAGCTTAGTTTAGACAGGCCGCCTAAGTTTAGTATGCGTCCGATGAGAGACCGTTCCTAAAGGAACTATTACGTACTATGTGAAAAAATATGTTTCTATAGTAATTAATACGTCCATATATCCACGATACTTGTATTACTTTTATGGGCCCAATATATCTAATGATTTAATCTAATTCTCCCACACATATAACATCGATTGAATTATGTACAAAAATAGCTCGAGCTTTTGGCAAGAAGTTCATGAATTTTATGAATGAAATTATCTTTTAGACATTCCGAAGACGCCAAATAATTTGAATAACAACTGAACAAAAAAAACCCCAGAAGACACTATTTAAGCAAAAATGACTCATCGGTTAATTAAATCCAAGGAAACAACAGGAAATCAGAGATATTATTTATAGATACTTAGTGACGTCGACAGGATTTTGTTTGCTCTTATGTTCTTGCCACCAACTTTATACTTTTACACATGAAGCAAGTAACACAATGGCGTCGTGACGGTTTAGCTTGGTTTCCGGTATAACACGGTCCCTTACGTAGTATGAAGGGGCTCTGCTAAAATGTTCTTTATAATGATTAAATGGCAAAAATAAAATAAAAAACGTCATTGGTCTATTATGCTTTTGGAATTCTAATTAAGATTAGGCCGTATATTGCTGCTCTCGGGGCAAAATTTCCCTGATAGCACACTGAATGACGTAAGCCCGTTTTCATTCGCCTTGTCGGGGCAGAAAATAGGACGTTAAACTCCATTTCATTTCAAACGGTTTGCGTATCAACTAAAAGCGTTAAAAATATACGTGGCTTCGCGCAAAAATGTTAAATTTACTCTTTCTAGAACACCATATACCACTTCTCTTCTAAGTAGTTCAAATCACTAGGTTATACACAAGCGCTAATGATTCGGTTTCTACTGATACCAGATGCGGTATTGTTTTCGAAGATCTTTACATGCAAATTTACTATATTATAAGCAAAATGTATCTTTTCAATATATAATATATGCCTTGACCTTTAGATATATACGAACTGTGTTAAATCTAATGTATATTATTATGCAGTTCAGCTGAATGATTCTCTATTATGTGTAGACACACATGTTCAATTTAATATTAACATATAGCACTATGAAAACATTTTAAAAGCACAAGATAAAATCGCTTTAAAGGTCAAATGGGCATTAGATAAAGAGCTAACAGTTTTCGCTATAATAGTTAAAAATTACATAATGAAAAGGGAATATGTTGAAAATTTCAGTCAATTACTTCACTCTGTCCCTAAATATTGGTGACACAATAACACTGTAGCCTTGATTGTCATTTCTACAATTTTTACGATAATAAACAAAGCATCGGTTATCCATTTTTATAGTTATTTCATCAACCGCAAAACGTATTCAAATCTACTAAATATCGGAGCCATCCGATGGCATCGAGAGTTGATTATGGTCTTGGTAAGTTAATTAATGTCTAATTAATTATGGGAGATCAGATAAAGAGTTGACTGTTCTCGCTATAATAGTTAAAAAAATAAATAACGTAAATAGAAGGTGTTGAAAATTTCAGTCAAATAGCTTCACTATGAACTGAGAATTTAGCTTTTGAATTTTAAGCCTAGCCTCGATCATCATTACTAAATTCGGTACGATTAAAACAGTCTCGATTATCCATTTTTGGATTTAATCATCAATGAGCGATGGGCAGCAGATTGGATTCCAATCCAGTGAAAATCCGACACGTAAGATGACATCAAGAGTTGATTATGGTTTGGATACGTTAATTAATGTCTAATTAATAGTTTATATAAAATTTCAGGCCTAAAGAAAGACCTGCAATTGGCAAATTTAGCTCCTGCATAATGTATGTTTATGGCCTAAAGAAAGACGTACCCGCCATAGGCAGATTTAGCTCTTGCATATAATGCATGTTTAAATAGCACAAAACTATAATATGTTATCCAACCTTTCATTTTCAAATAAAACTTAAAGTTACCATACAATAAACTTGAGTACATAGCCTATTTCAAAGTTTTGTAGCCAGTTTTGGTTAATCAGTAATCAAGTAAATATACGGAAACTATTGGGCGTTCACAGACAAACTTGACTATTTATAGTCCCTGTTGGTTTTAATAAACAAAACACCTACTTCAAACTACTTACATACAGTTCTTTCATACCCCGCATTCGTCTTAAACGTTTCCTTCGTTGGTGTTCGGGTGAAAGATCCGACATTGAGTCATCCAGACTGTTTTCACTATAAATGCTATGCGACATTTTGAACAGAGAGACAAATACAGACACAACTCTATAAAACCCAATGTTTCAGGAAGACGAAATCCACTTGTTTGATGTTGAAATGTCCGTCCCAACTCGGGGAATTCTCAATCTTTTATTAAATCCGAGATCAATCTCACACTATGTGTACTGTCTGTCGTTTTCTCATCCTGTAAGCTTAACATGCTACATTCTTTACTTCAAACATAATTAAATAAATAATTTGCTTCAGGTTGGAAACCTGGCTGTTAAATTAGTTTTGGTGGTAACAGAATAAATCTTCCTGGGGAACTAATAAGAAACTCATTGAAGAAACCTCGACCGATGTAACACAATGCACGTAGAGTGTCTGTTGCTTATTAAATATTAAACAAATCAAGCAATCAACGGGGAAATTGGCAATTACAGTCAGTACGTGAGTGATTTAACTTGAAGTTTTCTCACTAATAAAATTAACCAGCATCAGCCCTTCAGGTCAGGGGAAATAAGAAAATTAAAGAAAATTTTTGCATACTCACTGTCATTGTGTAAACTTTCAAACGCAATATTCTGATCGCGTGTAAATATAGTGTCTCTCTTCAACTACTATTTTTACAAATGAAAGTTGTTTGGTGGTTTATACCGCACGTGACTTGAACCTCAGCTCGCCTGGTTGACGACGGCTTCAAGTACACAGAAAAGCGCGCTCAAATTCCTGCTCAATACAGAAAGCTAGCCATCGAATGAAACAAACTGTGAGTGGTTAGTCTGCCGTCCGTTGCGTAGATGTCATTTGTTCAGTGTTGCCAGTAATCAATTTCAGTCAAATCAATTACGTTGACACATCTGCTAACATTCATGGCTTTTATATGGACATTATCGTAGTTGCAGAGTTCCACGGTTCTATCATAAAACATGGAATGGTTTATATGTTATCAACTAGGTTTTGCTGATGGTGCCAATAACTACGTTGATTATGACGGTGGGAGTAGAGTTTTGTAGATATCGATATTGATTTATATTCTGACTCAGCCTTAAGTATTTTCCCTGCTTTTTATGACGTATTTGCCGTTTTAACGCTCATTGTATTTCACTGGTGTGCGATATGATCTCATCAAACAGAAAAAAAACATCTGCTATTGATGGTGACATAATGACTAGATATCACACAATGTACCTGTAGCTTGGCAGTACATGTTACAGTTCAAAGTTAGTGGCAATGGAAACAGTTGTATATAATCTGTATAGCAGGAAACCTAAGCTTGGTTACAATTCATTTTTTTTTTTAACAATATTTATTCGATCAATATTTACATATTATAAAGAGACAATATTTAATTATGGGATCTGAAAACAAGCCGGAACTTATATAAATTCATTTCCCGTAATAAATTATTTACAGATATATAAATACATTGTTTATAATTACAATCACAATTTACATAAGGTTATAATTACAAAAGCAAAACATATTTATTCTCACTTGATGAAAATGTATAAAATACTAAATATACATAGGTTAATGTGGTTAGCGACACGATTATGGTGTGGTGATAGTGTGGTCTCTATATTTTAGATACTGATCTTTGAAAACAAAAACTATATAATTACTAACAAAAACTATGTAAAAACGCTAAATCAACGCTATTGGACTAAAGGGTGTCGAGACTTTCTGAGAGGAAATTCTACCAATCAGGGTAAAATGTTTCTCACAGCCTTGCACATTACGACATAAATCTATCCCCGCCCTCCTTGCCTCAAGTAACTCGAATCCATTTATGGCTGTATACAATTAATGATACATAATCCGTACATGCGTTCTTAAAGATGTAATGTGTAAGAGCTATATCTGCCTATTGCAGTTCCTTTTTGGAGCTTAAAATGTTATATAAACTATTATTTAGACATTTATTCACATGACAAGCACATAATCAACTCTCTAGATCATCGGATAGCCGTGATATTGAATGGATTATAATTATAACACTCATGCCATTGTAATAATGTTATGTTATCATGGGTTATCGTTAATGGTACTTGACGATTGAGAGACTATCTTGTCAAAACTTCAAACAGAATAAAGTAATTTGACCGAAATTTTAAATATATTCATTTTGCATTATCTATATTTTAACTATAGTATTATAGCAAGCTCTTTATCTAAATCTTACATAATGATAAAGCATCTTTAACCTAGATTGTTGAAGATCAGTCAATTTATCAATAATATGAAGAACTGGAAGAAGTGGGCATACTATCGATTATACAAAGATAAAACGTAACGTATAAAGCTATTTTTCTTCTTAATTGAACGCTTACAAAGAAAACTAAACAGACGTTTTAAAATCAATAAAGTACATAGAAATAACCATCTTTTGTGGAATTTTCTCCTTTCTTTTGTAAGCTTTATTCATTATCAATAAAAGGGGTCTATATACCAGGAAGTTTGTGGTTGGACTTTATATCAGTTTGATAATAATATATGTTCTGAAAGCCGAAATTGTTCTAAATACTCACAATTGCTGACCGGTTTCACGCATGAAGAGAAGTGTAAATAATTTATGTGTGAAATGGCATCCGCTTCAACCGAATGTCTGAGAAATGAAATTGGGATTAATGTCCTACTGTTCTGCACCGACTGCAGGGCCAACGAGTTTGCTATGAGGGATAATTTGCCAGGACAGCATCACTACAGCCTCCTCTTATATTGAATTCCAACTGTCAAGGGTTCTTTTACGTGCACGCCAATGTGTACACGGGGCCTCGGTTTTTCTTCCATCCGAACGACTATACGTTGTCCCTTCCCCAGCCCACCACTGACAAGGGAGAATCACGCCGGAAAACCCCGATGAATTTTATCAGCCAACACCGGGATCGAACCATGGGACCTCTATGTTAGAGAGCCAACGTCTTACTCATCGAACCACCGCGGATCCCCAATGTCTGAGGCACAACGAGATAAGATGCAGTATTGCTTGCAATCTGATTAAAATACAGATCTATATTTCGTTTCGTTTTTTATACTTTCTATGGCCTCTACTACATGAAGATCTGACCGGTTGTAGTGGAAGGTTGCGTCAGAGGTCATACGAACGACTTTTGAACCTATGGCGTCAGACATTTAATTAACCAATCAGCGTTGATGTTTCTAGTGGGTTAACCACAGTTCCGTGCACCGCCGTAACAGACCGTTTCATTAGCTAATCCCTCACATCATCCAGAACGCGGGTTATATAACAATTCTTCCAGATTCCAGTGTAGTTAAGACAAGTAAAACGAAACTTTGAACTGTAAAAAAATGAAACGAAATAGGATCTTTGTTTTAATTAGATTGTATAGCTTTTTGGTCTCCATTTATATTTATATAAACATCATACATTTACATATAATCAAGGAGGTTGGAAGGCAGAATGGTTAGCACGTGCGTGCTGTATCATAAGTGCTGTATCATAAGGCCTGTCATTGAGTCAACTGGCGTGGTTTCGAATCCCCGGTTGTACGTGACAAAGACCCCTACGCACAAGCGAATTATTGAAATAAAATTAAACCATATGTTAGTCCCGAAATGACCTAGTTTGTGTCGAGTGGACGTTATACCCCATTTCTCTCTCTCACATATAATCAATCAGGATATTCAATCTAATTATTACCACTAAAAAAAACATTTAATATCTAATCTTCATTAGTTCATAAATTCAATTAGGTTTGATTACAATTTTACACATACATATAATATATTCATCCGGATGTACAATCAATCATCATTTCTATTTCGAGAAACAGAAAATTGTGATTATATTTAAAGGTTACAGGGCGGTTAGCTCTTCTTTCTTTGGGGATATTTTACGCGCCGTCCTGGACCTAATTTATATAGTGTTTACGACCATGAGACGAAGAAGCCTGTTGATTTTCAATGATTTAATTCGTGATATTACAGGTTTTGTATATTTACGCAGATGTCTGATTTCAAGATGATTTTGTCGACACATATAACGTCTAACTAAAACCATTTGCAGCCGTGTGTTCTTGACATATTTGAAGACTTTCTTCGATAAAAATCTTAAGTTATTTTTCTTGAGTTAAAATTCATAATAGGATCCATGAATTAAATGTTAACTTTATTACACTTCGAGACAAGATTGCATATTCAACCATCGCCCACTCGGATATCATAAGAAATGCTAAAGTAGTGGTTTTCTAAAATTTTGGAACTCAAACAAATCTTCATACTCCTCTAATCGTGCAAAAAATAATGAGCGACATTACAGGTCATTCATATTAACGGCAACCATAAGATTCATCTCAAAACATATAAAAACACACGATAACAACTAGAAGTATGCTTTCTGATACAAAACTGCATAATATAGAGCTTCAAGAAGTGGCAGAAATCGGGTTTTATTACAGATCCCATATTACACTTGCTAATTCATAACCAGTGCTATTGTTCCTATTATTTTTATTGACCGAATTTAACTGTTTCTATGACGTCATGCTCTGTTCCTGGTACTATTGTACTTCTGAAAACACGGGGTTAGTTTTGAAAATACCATATCACTTCACGCCCCAGACATACGAAAAGTGCCAGTAGGGGTGGGGGTGGGGGATAAATGTGGCCGGTTTTGCTCAAGACTGAAATAGTATTGGGGTAAAGATGTTTTGTATCGATTCTGGCCGGTTACAATAAGGTAGCTCCTGACTGATACGACTACCAGTTTCGTACTTTCTCAGTGGCTAATTCAGAAATTTGTTAGTACCGGGGTTAAGATGGCTCCTATCGATGTTGAACATCGTCCAAAAAGTAGCTGCAATGCCCCCGATTTACGATTGTTGTTAAACGTACGTACTCGTATACTCGCTTTACAGATCTCAATTCTTCATCTATTTTCAGGATAGAAATAATTTTAAATGTACTGATTGCAAATTTTTGCAAATGTAGTTATTGCCCCTGACTGACATGATTGATAATTTTCATAGTCACTCCACAGTTAAATTCTTGACAGTTCCACGTCAAATATATATCGCATCAGCTGATCGCATGTTCAACAACTGTTTTTCACTTTAGACCTGAAGACAAAACTGAATTTTTATAGCCCTATATCAAATAATCATTTTAGTTCACTAATATTTGTTTGCATTCGTGCATGACAACCTAGAATCTAGTATACTTCACAGAAATGACAACGAATATTGCGATCTCATCTAGGCCTCACGAGAATATCATGAATATCAAAGTTCAAAATTGAAATGGGCAATTATGCATGAATTTTTTTATTGTTCCTTTAAAGCTTATATAAATATTCCTCAGAACATAATATATAGTGC